ATATTGTAAAAGAAAACACCAGTATTAAAAAATAAAATAAAAACGGTTGATGATAATATCAGATTACGAGTACTTTTTGCTTTTTAATAATACTTCCGGGACCTTTCCCATTTTTTTTTCTCCTTGACGAGGGTTGGTTGGTTTATACAAGCCCTTTAAGAAAAGCTCTTAAAGGGGACGTTTGAGCAATATTCACGAATCACATGGCTTACACACAATAATACTATATGAATATATACATAAAAATATACACACTCATATACGACGTTATACAGAACTAACAACGATGTACGTTTTACAATTTTACATGGTGGAATGGAAGTCTTCTTATTAATCAATGCTCTTTCCTCCCTCGTGCGGTCCTCGGTCCTTACTCAAGTGAGCCAATACACAACTCCCGAATAAAAGGGAGACCGGAAAAAGTTTTTTAATTTAAAGAAAGTTTTTTTTTTCCATTTTGTAAAATCTGTTTGAGGGAGTACTTAAGTGCCATTACAAAGTTGAAGCAAAAAATAAATAGATAACGAGGACCTAATTTATTTATATTCACGGTATTTGTATTTCATTGTACACGATGGTCTGCAAACCTATTCATGTATACGCGTGTATAAATGTATATATTTTAATACCTACACTATATATATAAAAATTATTATAATACCGAGTAAAACAAGTGAACTGAGGTAGAATTTATTTTTATTTTTTTATTATATAACTTTTTAACCGTCTGAAATGTACTGGTTATATGAAAGTTAACATTATATATTAACGTGCGTATAAAATGCTATTCGTAAAAGGTATGATTTGAATGGTTAAGTATATATTACATAGTTTTCGTAACACACGCTATACTAATATTCAAATACTTAGTAATAATAATATTAGCTATACGTCTATATACTGCAGTTAGAAAAATTAAATTTTAAATATGTTATTTAAATTATATCTAAAGATAGTTTGAGTTCATTATTAATGTATTACACAGAACAAAATGTATGATCTAGAAGCTTTTAATTGAAATTTGTAACTTATTACAAGTTGTATAATACGTTAATTTAGAGCTTTAACAAAGGAAGTTGATCCATGGAAAATCATTTTCTCTATACTATTATTATACTAGTCCAACAAACCACTAATCTCAAAGTTAACACAATTTTTGTTTCCAGACGACTAATTATTTAATACAAGTTACAATAATTA